AATCACAAAGCTCGATAAACAGGACGTTTTACCCGAGTGATTGTAGATTTGGAACAAGAAAAATTAGCCACACCGATGAATAATGCGCTCATACCACTTTTTTGATATTGCAATCGACTAACCGTAACGATAAGTTTACCTCTTGGCTCGNTTGAGTTTCGACAGTCTACGTTACTTTTGGAGGAAACAGGAAAACGGACTAAGCCTATGATCGTTGAATATGGCAGCAGTAATCCAACACTAGATAACACAAACATGGAACGGTGATATCCTTTGCCAAACTCGCTGATTACTATAAGCTACCTGTCAAGAGACAACTAAGAGTAGTTACAGACATTTGCGGTTTCTGAAATCAGTGAGCAAATACATAAGTACATATCCAACAGTAGAACTATTCAGCTGACAGCTCTACTGGAGCGAGGACTAGCTACATTCAGAGTCTTGTGACCAAGGTGAATCCCTGAGTTTCCCGTCTGGTAAGGTCAGACCCCGTTGCCATTGGTGAATTCAACAACCCTACATTTGTGAAGACTCGGTTAAACGGTAGCAGAGCATGTGTTTCATTAAGGACATTTCCTGGATCTTGAAACAAACTGTATTGTATTTTAGTACAGAGCCCTTTAAAATCATTATGTTTAAAATAACAGATGCTAATTATTTTTCCCGAACAACGTTTTCGTGTCTTTGGCTCAACTTACTGCCCTGTAAAAAAATCGATGACAACTTGGGGATGACTTAGAATTCAACTACCGCCAGGCTCCAAGGCAAATTGACCTCTGATTGTAAAAAGAGAAGCTGCATAGATCGTCCCACTCATTGATCGGTAGTTCTTGAGTTCAAACTCCGCCCCGGAGGTCTCACTTTCCGATTTATTTTTCAACAGCTTTATAGGCTGTATTCATCCTCTTGAATATTAGCGGTACCAAAGCCACAGGTGGTATATTTTTAATGTATATTTCTATGGTTTTATCGGATAATAAAAACACATTGCCACACAAGTGGCGAACAGAACATTAGCGAGCCTCGAAGCCGTTACACATTCTACTAGCCGTTAAACAATGAACTGCTTTAAAGGAACACAACTGCCTGATCTCGCTTATTGGAAACAATCCACTTAAATTCAATGCGTAATCACACGGAACATCCGAGAACGAGATTTATTACTGATGTATTCGATACTTTGTAGCTCATTTTCACTTGATCATCCAGATTGGTAAATTACTCGCATATTTCTAATTAAAAACGGAGACAATCACTTTAATGTCATACCACGAGCACTGCAAACAAGTTGCTTAAACTGGACGAACAAGACAAGGCGAATGTCAACCAAGAGAACATATGTGACGGGCGTTTCAGAATACTTGAGAAACTACTCACTCAAAGCGTTTTAACCCGTCAGACATTTGTTCCAATATCCCCTCGACAGTTGGTCTACTCCTCTAGACGCATTTTCCCGGACACCACGTTCTCTGTGACCGTTATTCATGTTTCCCATGTAATGCATATTTTTTAATCTTCATGTCACTTAGTTTTCGTTGACCATTTGTCTGATAATTGCCCAGCGCTTCTCTTAATCTGCGCGCCACCTGTTTGTCAACCTCATGCTGTATCCAGTTCCAAACCTCCATACCACCTGGATATTCGAAGATTGTGTGCGATGTACTGTCTTCGTCTAATGTTGCCCCCATTGTCTTGGTCATCTAACTCGAATGTATGACACCTTGTCGATCCGTTTTCGAATATCGACTCACTTCGTTCTGTGTGGGCCAACCTATGCATTGATCAATGACAGTTATTCTCAACCGAGTTGCTATGATTAGTTATCTCTAAAATACCGTTAAGTTTGTACATTCCTTATAATAGCCGCTTCGAGAACGTCACTACTTTTCATTGCGTGCATTGCAAAGCACGTCAAATGAGCTAAATGAAGCACCTGTGTGGTGCTTCAAATGTGATATCAAAGAAAAATCGATGGCAGAAGTAGATCACCAGAACTCGGGACAATGACTGAGAAAAAATGTACTCCCTGGTGGTAAACAAACCCCTTGAATAAAGATAATCAAAGACAATGGTCTACTTCAGTTTTCGCAGGTACCGATCGTATTTATGATAAATAAGGGTCAGTACTAACCAGGTACCCATTTCTGGATCAGGGGAACAGCAGTGTTAGACATAACCAAAATGCCTACACAACGAGAGCCCAATTACTTTTGGTGGAGAATGGAGCATGGATTTCCCAGAGGATGCATTCATAGACGAGCTGGAGAGAATTGCATTTGTGTTGCACGGTGCGACTAAATGCGGTGGAGAATAGCGTCAGAGGAAGGTCTTTGTAGTGTTAAATGTGCTATTTACAAAACGGACGGTACACCGTAAAATCGATGAGCGGATGAGTAGAGTATAAGAAGCTAGAAAACAACAAGGACATAAAACATACGCTGCGTGTTTCGGGATGGAGAAGCACATAGTACGAAGGAGAAAACAGGTTACAATTAGGGTACACTGGGCGGCGGCACGGATGGTATGAGATCACCAGTATTTCCGACTTGATTGTTGAAAGGTTGGGACAGCGTGTTCGCCACTTCGGGTGCACATCTTTGGCTGCGTTTTTTGTGCGCTCCGAAGCTGCTGTTATCTGAAAACGTGCGACCACACACACCACATTGGTAAGGACGTTCTCCTGTGTGAATGCGCCGATGTTTGACCAAACTACTGGACACGGAAAACCGCTTTCCACACTCGGGACAGCTGTACGGACGTTCACCGGTGTGGATACGTCTATGCGCTGACAGACTGCTTGAGTCCGCGAACGCGCGACCGCAGTACTGACAATTGAAAGGTTTTTCACCTGTGTGAGTACGCTTGTGTTTTACAAGGTCGCTAGAGCGCGAAAACCCCTTAGAACAGTGGCAACACTGGTATCGTTTGTTGCGAGCCGGTTTATCCTCGTTCGAAGCCGGTTGAACGGTAGATTCTCGGGAAGAAACCGGGTCAAATTCGTTATTCTCAGTGGTCTTCATTTCTGTGTGCACCTCTGAACGAACAGAGGTCGGAGTAGAAACATTGAGTTCAACCGGATTTGGAACGTGATTTGGTTCCAGTGGTAAAGTAAACGGGTAACCGACGGGCCACGGTGTTTGAGTACACGAATCTTTCGCGATATTAAACGATGGAATTAAAGACGTCCACTGCGCGGGATTGACACAATCAGTTGACAGTTGTGGTCCCTTAAGGTTTGCTGGAAAAACAAACTTAGATGATGGCTGAAGTCGGAGCCAAGGGTCCTCACGCCATCGCTGACCAGTCTCCGTCTGCGGAGATAGCTGAAACAGACCTGGTGGAACAGGAGTCAAGAAAGGTTGAGCTACGCCAGGTGATTTGGTTTTGCGTCGATCTGACGGCATCGGCCTTGTGAGATTAATTTCGGATTGGGGTGAACCCCAAAAATATATGTGTGGGTATTCGAGTGACACTTTCGTCATGACATTGTCTGATAATAGTGCGCCGCTTCATTAGCGCAGAGAATGCTCCAAAATACTTCACGGTAGTTTGACAAAAAAGCTGAAAAGAAGACGTACAATATAACGTCAAACTCCCATGTGTGCAGGTCCAAAATCTGACCATTAGGAGGTAAAATCATGTCGACTAATGCACACGAACATCGACTAGTAATTAATTGTATAATTAATTTTGGTAGACGCTTTTCAATAATGATAGCTTAAACTGATGCAGGACAAAAATTTTTATAAACAGAAAATAACTCTAAACATCGAATACAATAACTTGAGAAAATTAATTGGTTAGTCGCTCATTGATCCTTTAGATGAAATGTGCAAATATTTTCTATTGGTCCTTCTGAGATAACTCATCTCCCGAATAACCTCCATTTCAGACAGAGGGATGGTCACGGGGGTCTGGTGTTCATTCATCGAAACCGACAACATAAACCTCGGAGACTTAGAGTGGTGAACCACACAAAGCCCCACGAGGTCAAACATGATATGGAGCCGGAAGACAGTGAAGCTGCCTAGATCAACTATATTGCAGTAAGCTATCGTTGACGTGGTTCAGTACAAAACTGCACGTCCTAGTGGACCACATGCACTGAACCTGATCATGCGTTAGTTTGGATACAGTTTACTCTCCAACTCACTGGTCACAGAAAATCCCACCAAACTCGAGTGGCAGATCATCGCTTATCTGACTAGGCCCATCGTGCCCATTGTGCATCAAAACAAGGGAAAGAGCTAAACGCTCTGCGGGGTGGTAGTATAGATGAAAAGTGAGATCTGATTAGACAAACAATCCACTCCGCAGCGAAGGTTTCTTGTGGATCTGAAGCGGTAGCCCGACCGAGGCATTAGATATCTGATCAGTCAATAGCACTGATGGAGAAAAAGCGGCAAATCCCGACCGCCCGGGATCAAGATAGGGTTAGGTGGCGTTTGCAACGTCAACTCAAGAAAGACCGTGAGAACTGGTGGGCAACGATAGCTGGTAAAATAGAAATAGAAGCTGTATCATGAAATAGTCAGACTGTTCCAAGTGATACGCAGTTCCGGAAATCCGCAGTCCGCGAAATCCAGTTAGCGAACTAATATGCCATAAAAGTGGTAAGCTATTCACAATAGAAAACAACGGGTTGATCGCTAGGCGGAGTACTTCAACGAACAGTTTAGCCTATCTCCTCCGGTGTGGCTGAGGCTCCGTGGGCAGTGTCATCTGAATATCCTACTGCAACAATTTGTTCTTGCATCCAATCCCTGAGGGAAGGAAAAGCAGCAAGACCGGACGAGCTTCCTCCCAATCTTTTCAAGATGGGGGGCGATCACCTCGTAGACTCCATGAGTTAATGAGTAACATCTAGTCACACGAGCGCGTCATCCTGGAGCGAACCACTGATCGTTCCAATTTTTAAAAAGGGATCTCGAAACGACTGCGCAAACCATCGTGGAATAAGTTTGATCCCAAACGTCACCAATTTACTAGTTTCCATCATACTCCGACGTCTGGTAGCGTTTAGGGAGACAAACATTAGAGAACAACAAGCAGGATTTCAATCAGGTCGCGGTTGTATAGATCAAACCTTCACTCTCCGTGAAGTCCTCGAGCTACGTCGTACTCACCGTCGACCAACGGTTGATCTAAAAGGAGCCTTCGACTTAGTTGATCGTGAATCCCTTATAGTTTCGCTCCTTTCCAAAGGAATGCCGCAGAAGTACGTCAATATACTGAGTTCACTCTNAATACTTCTGGTAACGTAAGGGTCTACAGCGAGCTGAGTTATAGACGAAATACTGGAGAACGCAAGTGGTCTCCAAAACGTACATATTGAGTGGACAGCTGGTGAAAAGCTGTGCGATTTGGAATACGCTGACGACATCGTCTGCTTGTTCGAATGCATGGAGGTTGCACAAAGAGCACTTGACAGATTAGTAAGTCCGTTGAGTCTTCCGGCGAGCAGTCAGGTGGATCTTGAAGCCAGTGCGTACAAAAGTATGGTTCGTGCCGTTCCAGTTTTTGCGCCACGATAGGAACGATACAAAACGGACCCAATGAGCATGTAACAAAATATAATAAATTTGATGTGCCATTCGGCCGTCATTCGAGTACAATGTAAGTAGGTGTTTTCTGGGGGTTGTAAACGGGTGTTGACCACGAACAGCCGGTTAAGGTCGGCAAATGTGACTAGGCGTTCGTCATTTTCGCAACGTTGACAGTCGAAATTTCCCAGAAAATGACTTCCTCTGTCTATCCACTCTCGCTCCTGAGAGGCCACTCCAGCAAATAAACACAGGAAGGGGCAATTTACCGATCAAAAATCCCGCCAGATGGACGTAGGAACAGGGCACCAAGAGCATCCTTCTGACGGTGGGAGAAGTCTTCGGACTTCAATGGACAGCTACTACCCACCTAAGCTGGACAGTCCCCGGCCAATAAGGTGCTGACCCGTCCACGTTCCACCTGGCGTTGGGCGCATGAGACTAAGAGCTGATCCCGAACAGCGGACCGTTAATCGACGCGCCAGTGAACAACACAATAAGCCACCTATGAGATATCACTCCGCATCCAAATAGTAAAGTCAATCTACCAGAATCTATCAGATTGCTGACATCAACATTTCTTTTTTACTTCGACGCATTTGATGTCCGCACACAATGAAATTGTTCAACATTCCACCTAGTTAGAACCCTTGAAACTTTCAATTGAGATATATCCTGTCTCCCAAACATACATGCAAGACCTTACTTCAATCATCACCTTGCGATCTCAAGATCCGACCTCATCCTCACGCTTCACTCTGCATTTTTTTATTACACACTTAAGTGTGATGATCAGCAGACGGGGCGAACCTCATATTCACGAAGACCTATTGTCGTGATGGAAACCGGCAACCTAAGCCCCCGGACTTGGAGTGGCGAACTACCTAAGGCCCCGATAGGTTGGGCGGGGTATTGAACCGGACGACAGCAAAGCTGCCTATCATCAAAGTCGGGTGGCGGGGATCGAACCTCAGACCACAGGGTCTAAGAAACGCCCATAACAGCGACTAAACCACTGCGACACCACCATCCCTGTCAGGGGTTTCAGCATCCGAAGCTCGAGGTGTTACCGGAATCGGGATTGCGTCAAGTGCCAAGGCCGATTGTTCACCTCTCGACTGGATCCCGGTTAGCAGCCAACTGCGCTCTACATTTGAATGCTTCAGTATGCGTCAACAGCTATAGAATGAAGCTTCCATGCTCATTCTTGGTATCTCTGTGTAACCAGCTGATTGCAGTTCGTCAGAAATGAGTGCTGAATTCTAAAAGGACCTCTCTCAACTGCTCCAAAGTGCTCGGCTAACGGACATCATTGCAGTCGCTGGAGATTCCAATCCTTAAGTGGGATCCTTGGACGAATCAGAAAGGCTTCTTGGCAGTCTACATGCAATCGCAGACAACAGGATGTACGATGGAGATTGCCTACTTCAACTTTACGCTAACTGCGGAATGCTTCTATCAATCGACAAATTCTCTCAAAAGAAATGACATCGCCTTATGTGGATACCACCCACCTCTTCGCAAAGATAAATTCAAAAACGATCACAAGAAAATTCACCCGCCTCCACCTGAGCAACCTGGCAGTATTCCGCCCACAAACAAATCATCGGAATTTCTTTTTTTATTGTACTGTGATTTGTTCGGTACACATTCTGCACTAAGAGGAGTGTGAGATACAATGTACAACAACAGTGCCATCCCCTTCTGCTTTCGAGGATCCATTCAAAACTGTCGCTCTCACCGGTCAACACACATGGACACGAACCAAACACTAGAGCTAAATCAAGGAAGCCATCCAAATGTCAATCAAAATAACAGTGGATACCGGAGCACGATCAAGTCTGGTGGGTGGTGGTGGTGAGGTGGTTGAGTCAGTTACCAGTATACTTTGGACCCTTTGATTCAAGCCCCACCACCACCACCCACATTTGGTGGTAGGCAGCTTTGCTGTCGTCCGGTTCAATACCTCGTCAAACATAACGGGGCCTTATGTGGTTCGCCACTCCAAGTCCTGGGTCTAAGGTTGCCGGTTTCCATCACTGAACGGCAGGTCCTCGCTACTATGTCGAATAGAAAAATGGAGAATTTCATTGGATTGATGTTACAGAGAAATTGAGATATATGAACGCCACTGCTCACGACACTCAGTGTCTCTAACCACGGTTACGATCATTCCGGGGTCCCCAGCCAGGGAGCCTAACAGGACCTACGTGACNCAGACTCCTGGTTAAGGTTCTCATACCCCCATGCCAGGTCTTCGTTTGACCACCATTGATCTTTTACAAACGCTACCTGCCTCAGAAAACATCGCTCGCCGTGGCAACCTATTTGGTGGCATGCGTAACACATGCCCCAACCAACGTAATCTATGGAGGTCGACCACATGCTCCAGTGGGCGACGGCGATTACCTAAAACTCTACGCCTAACCTCATCATTGCTCGTCCGGCTGTCCCACCAGGGCGGCATAGACAGTGGTGTTCGGTAACTATCGCATTCTTTTTTCATTTACTTAGGAGTAAGAACTTAAGGAAATTAGTCGTGAGGAAAGTAGAGTCTGAGGTCCCATTGATTCATATTTTGCAACAGCGTCTCGACGATAGACAGAACATTTAAGGTTCATTCCAACTGACCCCCATCTACAATACACCTCCAAATTTATGCTTGAACTGAGCAAATACTGCCAGTTGATGTAAGTCATCCACCAGAATTGGAGGTTACCTGGGAAGTAAATTATCTCAAAAGGTATACGGCCTCCGGTCTAGCTTTTAATGATAGAAATTCAGCCTTGATCTTGGAGTTGATGAAACTCCTGGGTTCATTACGGGAGGGGACAAATTACAATTGAATGGCGTGGATCGGT